GCCATCTTCCTTTTCTACAACCACAGCAACACCTACTGGTCCAGTATTGGTCCTACAGGAACCCCATGATGGTTCCTGGAACTTCTTCAGTTTAAACTTTTATTGGTCTCATTGTTAAGAGATGAACTAAAGCAATCATTTTCTCCTGACGCAGATAACCAAACACCTGAAACATTCATTATTCTGTGAAATAACATGGAGGAACCTGAGAGCTTCATAAAACAATAATATATAAAATATATTTAAAAAAGTGTGCCAGGGAGCGCGTCACACTAAACCAGTACAGTCAGGAGGAAAGACAAATATAGAAATGATCTTAAAATAAAAGTCTCTTCATGTAGTGAGATCAGAAACAGTCTTTCTGGGAAAACATCCAGTAAAATTTGTTCCCACAGTCCAGAAATTATTGGCAGATTTTATTTACCTCAAACTAAAAACCTGCTGTGGATGAATTTCTGTTCCTGTAGAGATAGAGAATAAAATCCTGATCAGTTCGGATCTTTTAAAGCTTCCTCTGACATCTAAACTGAATTACTGGTAAGATTTTATATCACTGTGGCTGTGTTTGAATGTTCACCCTAACCCCTAGATCTCAGTTAACTGAGCGCTCTAATACTTTCCGCTCGCCGTTGGTCACGTGACTCCGCCTCTTTGCACAGTGCATGCACCATCTTTGTTCTTTGTCGCCTGCTGTGACAACAAATCCCATGAAAGCATTATGCGATATATCTACTCATCCAGTGACCATGGATGATCACTACTTTTCACTGTGCATTGTGGGAAATTTTGAGTCCACTAGATGTTAGAACACTCATTTTAAATGGCGTAACCACTATATAGGGCTCTATAAAGGACAATGAAGGTCCTGTTCTCTGATTGGTCGGTTAGTTTTAACTCTCAAAGTGAACAAAGCAGGACTGAACCAAGATGTTTCTCTCAGTGATGCTGTTGGAGAACAGGATTAAGAGTGAAGATTCAGGCAGTTTGCGAGCAGCTGCTGTAACATCTGTACGATGCTGATGTGTCTCAGGGCTGCCTGTCTCAGTACCTGTCGGAGAACACGGTGGACTGGCTGACCTGCTGCAGGATGGCCCACGGCGTCACCAGGGGACTCGCCTTCCTGCACACCGAACTCTGCAGAGGAGGTAAGACCTGAACCAGCTGCTCCTTCCTTCAGCCCACAGACGGTTCGGGACGATTGTCTGCGGCGGATGAATCTCTGCGAGGCGCATCAGGGACAGCACGGCGGTCAGCGGATGAACCATCAGTGTTTTCATGGTGCTGAAGGCAGACATCAGTCAGTGGGAGACGACGGAGTCAGATGCAGAGGAGGACAGGATGGCAGGAGATAGAAT